TTGTGTTCTTTGGGTAAATTCCTAGAAGTAGAATTACTAGCCCATATGGTATTTCTATTTTTAGTTTTTTAAGGCACCTCCATACTTCTTTCCACAGTGGCTGCACCAATTTACATTCCTACCAACAATGTAGGAGGGTTCTCTTTTCTCCACATTCTTGCCAACACTTGTTACTTCTTGTTTTTTGGATAAGTGGCCATTCTGACTGGTGTGAATTGATATCTTGTTGTGGTTTTGATTTGCATTTCCCTGATGACTAGTGATGTGGAGCATCTTTTTATGTGCCTGTTGGCTATCTCTGTTTCTTCTTTGGAAAAATGTCTATTCAAGTCCTCCACTAATTTTAAATTGGGTTATTTGGTCTTTTTGGTGTTGAGTCTTATGACTTCTTTATATATTTTGGATATAAACCTCTTATCAAATAAATCATTTAAACAAATTATGCTAGTTATTTAAGTATACATTTTTCTAACAAAGTATAAAGGTATTCAAAGTGTTCATACTTCTCTTATGCATGTTGTAGGTCTCAGTATGCTTTAACTATTCACACAATAATCAATCCTATATCATTCTTATCAATTATTACATAGAACTTTATCATTTTAAAAGTAGAAAATACTTTTAAGCTTTCTTTGGTCAAAAATTTTTAAAACTGCCCTTATTCTTGAATGATAGTTTAAGTATAGAACTCTAATTGACATTTATTTCATCTCACTAACTGGAAGATACTACTCCACTCTGTTAAATAATCTATTATTACTGATAAGATTTGTTCTGTCTTTCTGAATGTTGTTCACTCATAGTTAATCTTTTTCCTTTCCTTTTTTTAATTAAAAGATGTTTATATTTATCCTTTATGCACTGTATGTAGTTTCCTTATAATGTATATGTGAATTTACATCTATTGTTCTACATTTTACTTGCTGTACATTTTTTAGTATCAGAACCCATGTCTTTTATCTAGTAAGTTCTACATCAGTAATCCTTTAATTAGTAATACTTTTCTTATATTTACAATCCATTGATTAGTTTATATTCTCTTCAAGTATATGACTATGCTATATTTTAAAATACAGTCATTATTCTTTCAAGGTCCATCTCAGTGTGAGAGTAAAGTTTGTTCTCACATTACCACCATTTGTGGCCAGTTGTTACAATAGTGGCCCAAATGAATGATGATTCTCAGTATCTATGGCCTTGTATAGTCCCTTCTACACTGACTCTGAGCTTGGACATTTGACTTTCTTTATCTAATAGGATATCAGCAAATGTGGTGTAAGTAGAGACATAATATATTAAGAGCCCTTAATGCATTAGGGCTGGGCTTAGTAAAACCCTGAAATCATTGTGTTATTAAGACTTGTGGTCTAGCATCTCTGAGATAATCCCAACCAATCCTCTAGTTGAATGTAGCTACAGGCCAAATCAGATGAAAGACCAAGCTGACCCTCAGAATTATGAAAAATAATAAATCCTTGTTTTAAACACTATTTTCTTATGCAATAATAGTTAGCTAATAAAATGTGTGACTTTTTAAACTCCTTCCTCCCCAAAAGTATATTGCAAAAAATCATTTTTTTATGCCTAGTTGAGGTGATGGCATAGAAAACAAACTTTTCAGTCCTTTGTTCCTTATGTTTAGTTACTCCCAGAATGAAGTTATAGCAATCTAGGGTATAGTTAATCATATTTGCAGAACATGTGTAGAACATCCAGGATATCAGTGTGGATAAAAAGTAAGGACAGATTAAATATATGAATTGAACAGGTTTTTAGAGCTGAGAAAAATTAAGATAGTGTTGTTGTGGGGCGGAACAATGTCCATTTGAAAATGCCAGAGCTCTGAAAAATGCAATACAAGGGGATATTGTTTAGGTGAAATAGAGGCTGTGAATCATGATTACTGTTGTGATATCCTTTCCCAATGGAATAAGTCCAATTTTACATGCAAAAAGCACATGGTTGCCTCTCATATTTATACAAAGGGCTTTTAAGTCATACATCTTTGGAAGTCATGTGACTAACACAAAGGTCAAACTTTAGGTTAGTCATTTGCTGGCCTTAAGTCAGGCAGGGTGGACTTCACAGTCTAGAAGTGATCAGTCTCCTGATGGAGTTCAGACAGAACAACTGCAAAGGATTTTCTAGATTGCTTTAGGGACATACACAACTCCTTGTAAGTGTATCACCTCCTCATTTCTTGCCAAAATATTTTTACCTCTCTTTGACTCAGGATTATTCCAATTTGAGGTTAAAGAATATAGTAAGGGAACTGAGTAAACTTAATCAAGACTGATAAAGAAAGAAGCTATTTTTAACTGAACAACCTGGTAAATTCCTAAAAACCTGTTTCAGTTATAGAATATAGAAGTTAAGCTAATAGGTATGGTCACTTAGCCAAAAAGCTCTTTAAGAAATACTTTTTATATGAAAAAGTGAGCTAGAGAAATTAAAGATTACCTTCCTAACAAATTCACAGAAAACAATTAAAGCAAAATAAAAGATTTATGAGGCACTGGATACACATTTCTCATCTTATAATAGGAGGGTAAGTGTTCCTATTCTCCTATACTCAGAGGGTAAATTTAGCCACTGTTCTGTTTATTCCCCCAAGCATTAATTGGAAGGTGAAAAACTGGCCAGGACACAGATGGAGAAAGCCATTGTTTGCCCTGAAGTGAGTGTTGGCTTTCACTGTGGTGGACTTTAAAGAAGTTAAGCTTTTGTATGGTTTAAATACTGTAGCTTTGCTACAGTAAAAATTCTTCTACCCCAACCAATGACCTCTTCACTTGTCACAACTTCCTTTTCTAGGCTACATGATTTGTGTTTCAGTACTCTCTCTCATTAAAACCTATGCATTTTTAATGAAAATAATATTAGTATTAAATACCCTTTAACACTCAAGAAAAAGAGTAGGTTTTCTATTAACCTAACCTTGTCTATTTCATCCTGTTGATAGAATGAGAGTTTCTTCCTAGAACTGCTAGCTAAACTAAACACAAAATACAGAAAATAAACATCCGTATCTGCTCTATCCTGGTACTTTATTTCCTTATAAAAATGTCTCATAATTAAATGACTTTTCTAATTTATTTGTTTATTAGTGTGGGATTAAGGAAATAAAAATACAACAAAATTTGAAAGAGGAAGATGCAATTTATAATGGACCAAGTAGAAAGAACCTAATGAAACAAAACCAAGTTATACTGATCTTTACAAATGACAGCAAATTATTTTCCTCTGTGCCTGATGAGGTATTACTTAGAATAAATATCAAGCAGGAGATGCAGGCCAAGATCTAAGATTCAGCTGAAGCAAAAATAGTCTAATATTAAAAAAATCTGAGCTCCCTCAGGGAAGCTTTTTTTCTAATCTTCAAATAAGATCAGATCTTGGTGTTGTATACAAAGCCAGAGTTTCTTGTGCTTCTGTTTTTGCTGTACTTATGATAATTGACATTTAAAAAGAATTGGTTGGCTAACATTTTTCTTCTATATACAATTAAAACTCCGTGTGGACAAGGACCAGATATGTCTTATTTAATGTCTAGCAGTTGGTCAATTACCTACCTAATTTCACTGAATGAATGAATTACTATATAGAAGACTGGGAACCACTCCTCAGGCTATGAACAGACAGACACTAGGGTATAGTTAATCATATTTGCAGAACATGTGTAGATATGCAGAGTAGAGGTATGGCTGTTCATCTCATAGGAGTTACATTATTTGTGAAAGTAGAAAAAGACTTTTGGATACAGGATTCTGTAGGTATTCAGACTTCAAAAGAAGGCTAGTTCCCTTGAGGAGTCCAGCTAGTCTCAATAAGGCATCTTCTTCTGTGCTGTAAGGATATGTCCCTGTCTGGGATCTTGGATTTTTCAGAGCAGGCTTGGTGAAAGGCTAACATCATAGTTGAAGCACAAGCTGGTCAGACTTAAAAGTGTATTTTTCTAACTCATGTTCTTTCTAGTTTGGCAAGTAGAGATACTTCTTTAGTCATGGTATTTTTCCCTCAAGTAACAATGGCTTGAGAAATTATAAGAATACTAATAACTAATGTACTGTAGTAGGTGTTATATTAGCAGTTTTTACCTTCTAGATGGATTGAGGAAGACTTTCCAGAGGAAGTTACAATTCATTAGTTCTGTAGAGATTGGATAGAATTCACAGGCAAAAGATGAGTGAAAGAATTTCCAGACCAATGAAAGAGAAAGTGTAACTGCATGAAGACATTTTAATAGTGTTGGTTATCCTGCTTTATTAGGATTTAGGGTATATGGGCATGTAAGGATAGTTACAAACTAATGATCTTTCAAGATGAAGTTGGAAATTTTGTTTGGAATAAGATTTAAGGTATCTTATCTGCCAAAGCAAGCCATTTGCTTATCATTTATTGGAAACCACAGGAGATAGTAAACAGAGAACATCAACAGTGAGAACTGGACATTTTTTGTTTTCTATTTTTTCCCATATTTGTGTTTTAGGAAAACACTGGTGATTACTGTGGGAGATGACTACATAGGAGGAGAGAGTTTGTGAGTTTCAGCAGTCATGAATGGCTTGAGTAGATAAAGCTAGAGATTGCTGCTGATGGAGGGTTCTAGAAACAACAAGTGTTATTTTTGTTGGTATGAGTCTTGAATATGAAAGGAGATCAGAGATGTGTTATATTAGATCAAAATGGACAACTCTTAGGATTCTGAGTGTGAGGAGGTGACTGGATGCAGTATTTAGACTTGAAGTCAGTCCAAAGTAGAATTTAGGGATGTGGTGATGGATTAAGTTCCAATTACAGAATGATGAAAAAAGAAGTCCATAAAATTAGAATGAAGACAAAATTGTTTCCTGGGACCCGCATCTCTGGATCTGGACTGAAGGGGAGGTCCACACAACAGCTCAACTGGCTTATGACTGTTGCTGCTCAGCTGCCAACATCCCTCTCTCTCTCATTTTCAGGCCAGCTTTTGTGGTGTGGCCAAATGGTGCAAGGAAGTTTGGGAGGCTTTTCGGTGAAAACCTCCCATTAACAAAAGGTGTCTCCTCCTGCTGGATCATATTTGGGCACCTTGCCATTGCAGATTTGACAGAGGACATCAAATGGTCTTGTTAACCTGTGAATTTGGCATAAATGTAAGGAAGAGACTGGAAGCAAACAGACATGCAGGAGCTCAGACACAGGTGACTTACTGAAGATGTAAAATTTTCAAAGATGACCCTGCAAAGACTCAAAGCCAAGATGCTTCCAGTAGCCAGTAAGAACATGGGCAGGGAAAGAATTTGGTCTATTCAAAGTTAGAATTATATACGTAGACACTTACTATCAAATAAAATGCAAAACGTATTTGGAAAGGGAAACAAAGTAGGAGTTAATGATTTTTTGACTATTCATGATTGGAATCTAAAATGCCAAAATAAACATTCTACAAGGATATTACTATAACAATGCCATTTTAATTCAAAGAATGTTTAGTTTTCAGTGTTTGTACAAGAATGTCAACTGCTTACTGAATGCTTATGAAAAGGAGGAGGTTGCTTTCCAGCACACAATATCAGATCTGAGCCCTGGTAATAATAGCTTAAACACACACAAAAAAAAAACAAATAAAATGAAAAAATATAAAAAGTTACCTCCATCACTACTGCCACCATTTCTTAAAAAATGCAGAGCCGCCTTTTATGATTTATTCCAATTCAGTTAACTTCTTTCTTGCCTTTAATGTACATGCCTCCAACCTAATTAAAGTGTCCCAGTCAGTTAAATTAGCATCCAAAGTAAAGATTAGAGCTAGAACGTGATTACGAAGCAGAAGAAAAGGAATCCTGGGAATGTCAAGGGCTTCTTAAGAATATCAGACAAATGAGCTCATTTAATGGCTGAACAAGAAATACTACAGTGAGAAGCTCCGTAACCTACATAGGACCTAAGCTGTTAAGGCTCTAAGTTGATTTTGAATTGAATTGATTTTGTTGTGCAGATCAAAATCTATCTCAAGAAAAAACCCAAATTATTTCATTGCTTTGGAATTTTAGTTTATCCATTATGATCTATGGGGAGTAGACCAGCAGTCTCCTTGTTATAGTGCTGTTTGTCCTAATCAGGGGAATTTGCAGGAGGCAGAGACAGGGAGATGCATGACTGTCTCATTTTAATAAGGAGGCCAAACATCAAACGACTCTCTTCCTACCAAAAACTCAACTGAAATAATTGTTCTGAATGTTTGCCATGTCACAACTGGGACCCTGTCATTGTTCAATTTAATGGTCTTCCTCAACATCCTGGGGGAGATTCAGATGTCATTATTGGTCAGTCATTAACCAATACGTCCTGTAATTTTGCATCTGAAAATATGATATGGAGCAGAAGAGAGTAAGGGCAGAAATTTGAGATAAGGCCAACCATTTTTTTTTCTTCATGTAGGGTAACTGTGTAATCTATCTTCAAACCTGGACAGATTTGAAAGAGGATCCTATTAATAATTATACCAATACAACCAGGCAAATAGGACATTTTGTCAGTGTAGTCTAGAGAATGGTGTTTCCAAGTCTAACATGTTATTTCTTTAGTTTTTATATATCTTAATAGCGAGATATAACTGCAATGTATCTAGTTTTTATGAAGTGTTAAGTTCTTACACTTCAACACTGCATATCTTTGTGAGAATATTTGGTGTTGTTTGAGCCCATACCTTTCATCTTATCAGGAATAAAAAAACTTATGACTTGAAAAAAGAATTAGAGTAAATGATTGTGAAATAAATGATCCTAAAGATTTCTATGAGAGCCCACACATGCAGATTTCTACTCTATAAAGTAAGTTTAGGTAGTCATAGGAGAAAGTGGCCTACAAGGAACTAAGTGCTTCATGAAGTATAAACAGTCTAATCTTCTCATAAATAACAGATTAAGCTTTAAATTGATAGCCATCAAAGAAAACAGAAATGCATTATTGTAAGTTTCATTCACATCTGTGTCTGCTCTTTTAAATATACTTTAATTATACCAATTTAAGTTTTAAATTCTTCAATTATAATTCAAGTATAAGTTCATTCAAAAACTAAACAAAGTCATCTAGCATTGTAAAAGGCAGAACGAAAGTGTATAATTTGTGTTCACAACTGTAATTGAAGGCCATATTCAGACAAATATAAACCATGGTTTCCTGGGCCACTTTTTCCTAATATTGAAATTGTTCTGCAATGCCAAATTGTCCTTCTGAATCTAGTCTCTGATATTGCTGCATTCCCTTTTCGCTGTTCTGAGTATTTGGAAGAGTCTGAACACAAAGCCCATTAACACAAAGTCTCCCCCTTGACCAAGGGTGGTACAGTCCCGCTCTCTGCTTCCCACCTCTGGTCTCTCATCTGGGTTTCCCTGCTTCTACCTCTTCTGAAGAATGGCCCTTCCATCTCTTTATCATTCTGATCCCCTCCTATTTCTTTTTATAGACTCCTTTTTACTAAATATGGCCCCATTTCTTTTCCCTCTTTTCTTGGGGCCTACTCCATTAATCACTTACCACATGCAGTTTTCCTAGTACAGGAGGAGGAAGATGTGTTCCTTCATTCTACATGTATTTGTTGAGAACACGCCATGTTCTAGGTGCAGAGATGGGCAGTGAATAATGAAGACCAAAATCTCTGCCCTCATGGCTCCTGGAGAATAAAAGACAGTCACTATTTCAGGTTCATCAAAAGGGTAAAATACACATATATGAAACAACTCTTTCTAGTACTTAGATTAGCCACCTTTAAGTCATTTTCTGGTATTCATTTCATAATATATATTGCATTTATATTACCCATGTATGTAAATGTGTAGCAAAGTTTAGGAATAACAATATTAAAAGAGATTCATTTTGTATGTGTGTTGTGTGTATGTGTATAATCATGCAGTCCATTCTCAATAATTCCCTTTTGGTATTTAATGATTATGTTTTTTTCTTTGCTTTTCTCATCAAACAAAATACATTTCCATATCAGCATATAAATTTATCTCATCCTTTTAATGACTGCTTAGTAGAGATGTACCTGTCCCTACTGATAGGACATTTAAGATTGCTTCCAAGTTTTCTGTGTTTCAAATAATGCCTGATTGTCTTTGCACATGTCTTTCTCACAGATATGAGTATTTCTGTGGGACTGATTTGCAATTGCTAAGCCAAAGAGATGGTTACAAACACTGCCTGGTATAGGATGTATTTACTTCAGCATCCTGAGAAAACTCGACTCAGAGGAAAAGTGTGAGGTATGAGAGAAAATAGTTTGTTCTAATTTATCTAGGATAGGGCTTTATTGCCACTTTATAAGAAGCAGAAGTCTTCATTGTCACCTTAACAGAATAAACGTATAGAACACAAGAAATAATTGTGTATATTCAGGGGATGGGATGAGAAAGAATGAGGAAACTGGGAAAGGAGAACTTTTGCTTTTTCCTTCTATGCCATTTAACTACTTTATAACAGGTAGGTATTCATTTTTATTAAAATTAAATAAATTTTCAAAAAGCATATACAAAGAAAACAATGTTTTCTCTATATTCTCTCAGTGAAAATCACAAGGTTTCATTTATCCAAGGGAAATGACAGGTCTTGTTTTCTTAAAAATAAAGTTTAATTAAAGAGCTGCTCCTGAAAAATTTAGTGATAGGAAAGAGCTTGTCCAAGTAATGAACTTTTTAAACAGGTAAAAATGAAAAATAAATGTAAGTCACCTCTGAACCGCAATCCTGATTTCTCCCCAGATCAACAGAAATGTTCCAAGTTGAGGACGGTTATGTAAAAAACCAAACACAAGGAGTTACTGGGAAATCAAATTAATTTTGTTAAATTAATTGAGTAACTTCCTTCCCCATATCCCCCAGCCTGCTTTGGAGCCACAGCTCCACTGGTTCCTAATTTACCTGGTTCTATTTTTGCCTTTCCTACTTTAAAAGGTCTAGAAGCAACATCATGAATAACTAATAAAAACCCCAAAATTATTTATTCTGTGATAGTCCATAGGATTTAACATTGCATAAAATACCAGAACTCCTCCAATCACAGGATTCTCAGTTGTGAGCTGAACGACCCTTTATCTTGGTTCCCTGGCTTAGCTTTAGAGCCCCTGATCCAGCAACATTACATGATTTTTTATATAATTCCTTTTGTGTGTGTATGTGTGTGAGAGACAGAGAGATGGAAAGAGAGAGGTATTTCACAAAGGCTTTAAAGAAGCAATTTTTAAGGAAAACATTTTGGGCTTTCTCCAATACGTCCGTAGGATATAGATTATATTGCTGGGATATCTGCTACTGGGCCAGTCGGTGTTCTGTTGCTCCACCCAGTCTCTTGTGTCTCAGACATCACTAATTCTGTGTCTCAGCCAGGCATGCCTTGCTCAAAACCAGGTCTTCCTTCACCTTTAACATTTGCCCCACACTTCTACCAGCCCACGCATTCACTAGATAATCGGGAATAACAGCAAATTGGTTTTTTAACTTCTATGAGGAAGGTGCACACAATGAGGTACAAATGGCATACTTACCTCTTCTAAGGAAAACTTGCTCTTTAAATACATATTAAAAAAAAATTATACTGCTCTACAGCAGTGCATTAATTCAGGGGAATGAAATTGAGGACTTCAGCCCGTACTGTTTACTCTTGAGAGGGGTAGCATTTTCTTTCCATGGCCCACTCTTTTGGTATTTAACATAGGCATTCCTAATTCTTTTTTTCCCCTTGTTTAACCTTCAAAGTCTTTAGGAAAACAGATTGTCATTTTGCTCATATTGATATTCTTCAGAGCTGTTTTGAGGGCCTTGTAACCTTTCTTCTTTTGGCTGCCCTGCATGCATAATATATCAAACAAATTAAAATCCACCCATATCCCACATTAAATATAATTTATAGTGCAGTTTTGGAGTTGCAGTGGACTAGTTGACGTAATGTTATTTTTTGTAGACATTTAATTAAGTATTTATTAATTTCCATTTTGCAGCTTTCATTTTGTAGTTTGGAACCAATACTTTTTTTCAGGTTTCAGTCATTTTTGTAGACCTTTAAAAATCTCACAGCCCTTTGGCACTGGGCTCTAATGACTGATGGATGATATGGCCTTGATGATGCTAATTTAATGGAGGAGTATATTTACAACTCTTTCTTTTAAAAATAGAGTCATTTATAATGTTTTGCCTTTTTAGTAAGTATTGCTTTTTTTTATAATACAGCAAGCTATCTTCCTGAGTTATATCCATCTTAATTGCCTAATTTAAAAAAGTATGTTTCTTCTTAAAGGATGATTCTCTTTCCTATTTTCACATTTTGATATTTAGGATTTAAAATTAGTCCTTCTATGTTAAGGCAGTTTGTATAATGTGCAATTCATTTTTCATTCTCTGAAACATTAATGTCTAGTGCAGCCGTTGGATTGTCCCTTTCAGAAATTAGAGCTCTCCACCTTTGATTTTTAAAAAGAGATTTCTCTGGATGACGAAGTCTATAGTACCTGTAGAAACTTTGTGTATGCCAGCTTTACCTTCATGTTTCTCCAGACATTAATTCTTAATGACATGTAAACCACAAATGCACTATGCTGCCCCATTTTGGAAAATAATTCATGAATGTAATTGTGGGATGATCTGAAGAGGAATCCAAAATCAGGATACAAACGAGTGCTTCTTAAAACATGGGTACCTTGAGTTTGCTGAATTCAGAATATCTCACATACCTCAGGATTGAGGAGGATTTTAATAGAGTCTACAAACTGTTAGGTTAGTTAAGAAACTTCTACCCTGTGGATTCTGGGTAAATCTCCATCTTTCAACTGACAGAGACAAAAATGAAGTGCTTTTTCTTCTCTACTCTGTCTCATATTCTACTTATTGTCATGGAGGTGAATGTACTTCCATATTGTTTTATTCAGCAGAAAGAAAAGCTCTGTGCCAGGCTGGTGGTTCTGCAGGGAAAGGACATGTTCTGTGTCATAGAGATTGATGCAGAATGGTAAACCCAGCAATGTTTTAGTGCATGCATTAGGAAAACAAATTTTTACATCGTAAAACCTAAGCTTACTTTCTTATATAATCTTCTGTGGCCTGGCTCAATTATTGTAACTAATTTCAGGAGGGATCAACATGACATGAAGAATATACAAATAAAACTTTTTGTTTTCTCTTTCTGTCTTACAGACCTGAAGGCAAACATGAATTTTACTTTTATTCCCATGCATACTGCTTTTTTTCAAAAACATTTCCATTTTATACCTTTGATGGGCCTAGTTTGGGGCTATCTATAGAGTCAGGTTTCTCTTATTTGGAAAACTTGACTGTAATGTTGTAGTACAAAGCTCTGGCCACGCTGTCCAGCCCCAGAGGGTGCCATGCAGTTCACAGCGACAAGAATGTTTTGGAATGCTGGCAAAGGAGCAGAAACAGTGTGTCCTCCCCACACATTTAGAAAAATAAACGTACAGAGGACATGGCGTACTTCTTAATAAAGGCTTTGGAAAACACCACACCTCAGTAAACATTCCTCAGGAGGTGAGGAAACACTCTGGTCAATGGCTTACCTCAGCTCCCGTAATTCTGGGTCCAGTGAAGCGGACAATAGCGCAGACGCAGCACCAGCCTTGAAGGAGGGAGAGCAAAGGACATGCAGACACGCTCTTCAAACAAGCCCAGGGTCCTGCTTCAGGCACTTTGTGTTGTCTGGTCATCCCAAGACGTGTTTGGGATTTGCTGAACCCTCCATCACTAGGTAACCACGTCTTGGTGCTTTCTTCTGACCCTGGATGAGACACTTAACAACTTCCTCCTTTGGCCTTCAGAGGTCCTGATGGGGCTTCCTTTGTAACTTCGCATAGAGCAATCCAAGCTCAGTGCCTCTGACACCAGTGTAATTCCCTCTCTCCTGAGTTTGAAAATGCAAGGATCACCATCCTCATTGACGGTAACCAAAGAGAACCAAATATTCAGCTTATGGTTGGATTGCGTATTGTCCTAACCTTTTGCTCCCCAAATGTTTCATCTGCAGTCTGAAGCATCTTTTCCACTGAAAAGAAAAAGACTATTAAGAAGGTTCCCATCATTTTCGATAGGAAGCAACGTTCTTGATTCATTCGCGTAACAGGAGATTTGAACTAAATGGCGTCCCTTTTTAGTTTGTGGAGCCAATATTGTTCCCTGGCACCATTTTCCTAAATGACTAACTATTCACCTCACTCCAGCCTCTTTCAAAAATTCCAGCATGCCTGAGTGAATCTATGCTGGAGCTCTGTACAAAGCTAGTGAGAACCCCATTTCTGTCTCCAGATTTCTCTAGAGCAGCAGCTCCCTAACACAGTTCCGCTGACACTGGAAATCAGGAATATGTGGGATTTATTAAAAAAGACAGATGCTTGGGCCTCATTCTGAAGGTTTTCATTCATTGTATCTTGGTCGGAGCCAGGTATCAATGTTTTATTAATTCCCTGGTGACCCTAAAATAAAGCAGGTTTGCTAACTAACAACTTAGGCCACTCCAGTTGTCTACTTCCCTCCTTTTCTCTGGCTTCCCTGTTTTATGATTCCTTTACATAGTTCATCTTCCTCTCTGTCTTGTCACTTACACTGATACATTTTTCAGCCTTGACACCTCAGATTCAGCCTCTAGCTCCCCTCCAGAACATGACTGTTTCACTGCTATCCCTGGATGAGACACTGGATGAGAAAGGTTTTAGTGTCTCAGCCCTCCAGTCCTTATGAGGGTGGCTTCCTGCAGGAGAGAATAAGTAGACACAAGCAACTAGCTGTGAGGTCTCCAGAGCATGGCCCCAGGGCAATTGTTGGTTTGCTACACTTAAAAGAAGGCTTTATGCAAGAGCTTTATCAAAAGATAGATAAAATAAATAAGGAGACCTCCATTCTCCACTTGGGCTGCATTGTCCCAGACTGTATCTTTGCTCTGGGTTCTTCTATCTTATAGGGTGAATATATGAAAAACCTGTAGGTTAGTGATTATGCTCTGAAGGAGGACATGTACAAGCAGGCAAAGTAAAAAATCATCTGTGGTCATATGAGGTATAGTTGCGAAAGGTGCAGTCATGCTGTGATTGCTGAAAAGCAATGGCAGCATATAAACTAACCTCACAGGAAACAATCCATGATGGAGATGCTTAGTTGGGGGAAAATTACCAGGGCATCTCAAAGAATAACAGCAAACACACAATAAGAACAAAAACATTAGTTAAAAAAAAAAAAATCAGCCAAACCAGGCTAAAATATAAATGCTTTGGAATTCCAGGGTTTAGTTATGTTGCAGACTATCTAGGGTGCACTGGTAACTTTGCTCATATACACACTGCTAATTCTCAACTGGCAGTTCAGCTAGAAAACAGAATCGTTTGGGTATAAACTAATGCACATTGAGAGTATTGAAGATGATTGTAATTAGAAAAAATTCCTACATTTGAAAGTTTGTTCTGTGCACATTTCCAAAAGAAGGCTCATCAAGCTCAGAAAGTTCCTCCCGAAAAATGCAGCAGCCTGATATTTTACAACTATGAATGGGAGCACATTTTCAGTCTTCTTGTCAGGTATCAATGTTTATGTCACTCTGTCCAGTCTTGGTTACCGGAGTCCTCCAAATTGATTGCATTAATTTATATTCCTACTATCAACATTTTTTTAAATTGGAATATAGTTGATATGCAATATTATATTGGTTTCAGATGTACAAATTAGAGACTTGATAATTATATTATTTTCTAAATGCTCAACACAGTAAATGTAGCCACCCTGTTATCATCCCAAGATACTACAGTATTATTGGTTATAGTTTCTATGCTGTACTTCCATTCCTGTGACTAATTTACTTTATAACTTGTGGTCTGTACTGTTTTATCACCTTCACCTATTTCACCCATCCCACCTGCCCTCTACCATCAGTGTTTGACAGCACCAGTTGCTCTGTAGCCTTGCCTACATTTGGTATGATTAGTCATTTTATATTTACCTAGTTTGGTAGGTGTCTAATGCTCTCACTGTGGTTTTACTTTGCTTATTCCTGGTTACTAATAGGACAATCAATCTTCACATGTTTCTTGGGTATTCAGATACCCATTTTTGAAATATACCTATTCATTTAAAAAAATTGAGCTCACTGCCTTTTGTTCTTATTTGTAAGAGTTCTTTACATGTTCAGAATATAAGTTTTTGTGGGATAGATATTGATATAGCTGCAGATATACATATATTTGCCCTTGCAGTTTCTTAATAGTCTTCTGATGAATAGAGGTTTCTAACCTTGATATAATTTAGTTTATGAAGTATTTCCTTTAAGACTACTGCTTTATGAGTCCTGTTGAGGAAACTTTTGCTTGCTTAAAAATCTTGAGGATATTTTCCCAATTTTTTCTAGAAGATCTATTGTTTTACTCTTCATATTCTACAGCATACCTAGAATTGATCTTTGTGGGTGATGAGAGATAGGGGCCAAGTTTTGTTTTCTTTTTGCATATCTTTCTTTATTTCTTTTATGCATATCCAGATGACCCAGCACCATTTACTGAGAGATGGTACACTGCTCTCTGTTTGGCAATGCCACCCTTACAAAACTATAGTGTCCCTATATGTGTGTTTATTTCTGTACCCTCTTGTCTTTTCCATTTGTCTGTGTATTATTACACTTTGTCTTTATTACTGTTGCTTTATAATGAGTCCTATGATACAGCAAATTAAGTCCTCCAACTTTATTCTTCTTTTCCAAGAATATTCTGGCTATTGTTGGTCCTTTACATTTCCATATAAACTACTGTATCAATCTCTGGATCCTTTGTGCATCAATTTCTATTGTCTGATTTTTTTCTCTTCTTGGTTTTCTGTCAGAATTATTCAATGGCTTATCATTACTCTGAGGATAAAGTCCCAACTCCTTATCATAACATCAAAGTTCTGCATTTCTATGATTACTAATGGGGAAATCCCATATTCATAAGTTTCTTGGATAAATCCCATATTCACACATTTTGTAATGTGCCTATTCAGATCTTTTGACCATATTTAAACCTGGACTGTTTGCCTTTTCTGACTTGCCAGAGTTCTTTTTCTTGGTAAACACAGATATTTGTCTTAACTGAATTCTCTCTTCTTATTACCTACCAACTCATTTCCCAGTTTTTAGTCTAGTAACATCAAACTGCTTGTAGTAAAGCCATATACATGTTATTTTGGTTATTCTGCTCTCTCTAACTGGAATACATGTCCCATTCTTTATTAAAATGGCCAACTCCTATACATTGTAAAAATTGTAGTTGAGGCCTGATTTCCTTTCATCATTTCTTCCCTGCACCTTTACCCTTAGGATGGCTTCTATGCTATTCTGTGCTTGTCTCTGTCTTATTGAAGTTATTTTTTATGTATCTGCCCTATTTTGTGTCTTTTTCATATGTGTGCAGCATCACCTTACACATTTTCTGATTCATACTAAGTAATCAAGTCACTCAACATTGATGCCAATCTCCAATCTAGATAGTTCTTTCCTAAGAGCAGCTGCTGAACAAGACTTGAAGTCTTATTTGTGTATTTGTTGGAGATTTTTTCATGTTTGACACTAATTTTTGCATCCAAAACATTCAGTGGATGATACCAAATAATAACACATGAGGCTCTGTGATGCTAAAGGCTCCTGATTTCCCAAAGAAGCTTGGGCTATAAGTGCAAGTCAGGACTTCTCACTTGGAGAATAAGAGTTGTCCTGCCTTAGAACATTATACCTCTTCAAGGGATTGCCAAGTAGGAGAAGTACTTCAACCAACCTCTAATTACTAATGCAAATGAAATGAATAACTTAACCTCCCACTCTTACTGCATTCAAATGATACCCAATATGTTTAAGTCCAGCTCTAAAATCGCCTATATGCAAATAATTTATATAATCTTTCATTAGCCCCAGTAGTTTGGATCAAAACCCACCATGGGAAAGAACAAATGTTTGTCATGACGTTGACGTCCATGAGACACAATGTCATCCTTTCTCTGTGGTTACACTTCTTAGCAAAAGTAATATTTAGCCTGCATGTATGCCCTGGGTAGGAGGGGAGGGAATCAAATCAAGTAGGAATAGATTGTACTGCCAACCAGAAGCAGTTGTTTCTTGTAGTTGAACTGGATGCTCCCAAAGAAGTGTTTCTTTGAAATGTTTGCTTCAAAATGACTGTTCTGCTGCAGTGAGACTTCCAGTTAAAACATTTAATTAGTTCCCAATTTAGTCAGCCAGACTGATCAGTCAGTCTGTGTTTTGCAACCTGAGTTAGTACATTCCTGGGATTGGTGAGTCTTGCCCAGCGGATGTGGTCAACTGTGAATGGTTTGTATGCAATTCACATCATAGAATAGATTTTTTCCAACCCCTTGAAGGATAGCTAAAAAGGGGATAGGAAAAAGTGGGTGATATAGAGATAATACTTCTCTGTTTTCTCCTTTAGCTCCTCACAGAAATATGTAGTAAGGGTGTCTCTAGTCTTAGAAGTTGCAGAGACTAAGAAAAGTATATGGGCCTAAAGTGGGCAGGAATCTGGTGTAAACTGCTTAGATTGTTTTCTCTCACTTTCAGGATAGTCATGGCCTTGGTAGTGGCTTGAGACACACTGCATATTAAACTAATATAAACAAATTGCTATACATGTGTGTGTGTGTGTTGTATGTTTGTGAAGAATTCAGTTTTTCAGTAAAGCTAACCTTCCTATCTATTTCCATAATGTAAATCTAACCTTTTTTTTTGTCTATACCATATTATAGCAAGCTCTAACCCAAATTCTATACAATAATTATACTGTTAGTCTAATGAGTTTATAATATTTTGCTGAGAGAATAATGTTAGCCTTTCTAAGTTCCTTCTAATCAATGGGTCTTTGAGAAGATTGGTGCTTTTTGATCATTTCCAATCCTGTTCTTACTCCTTCACAGAACTCCAATCTTATCTGTCATTTCTCTAATAAGCATTTAATATTCTAAAAATGGCACATAGCATAGATCCTGCATGGTCTATGACATTTCGCACTACTCTGCTTTTGACTATGCCCTTTACTTACCCAGAATGTCCTGGTTCCATCTTCATTTGCACAACAACATTTCAAATATTATTTCTTCCAAGAACCCCTGAAGCCTCCAGTTGGGCAAAGGGCCTTTCCTCTCAGATCACTTCTGCCATCATGATCACTACGGCTCCTGGTGTAGGAGAGTCTGAATATGTGTGAGTAAATGAATAATATTCACTCTTTTTGTGGATTATTTTCAGTATGCCTCTGTTTACTAGATTATGAGCATCTTGAGATCAGGGAATCTATTTATTTATATCTCTGGAGTTCAGGCAAAAGCCTGGATGGACTATGGAGGGCGCTCAATAATTGTTTGATAACAGAACTAATGGGAATACCTTGAAAACAACTAGAACTGGTTCCCTTCCAGAGGGCAACACAACTTTGAAATATTTCCCCCTGTCAGGATTCCCCAAGACATTGAAGCCAAAAGCTCATAGATAAACGTGTTGCCATGGATGACGGCTCACATCCTCTGCCTCAGGCTGTTCAGCTGGTGAAAGAGAAAGTTGTCAGTGATTTACAAATAACTTTTGCTAATAGGTACAGCCTCTGGGAGCTTCAGGAGACTAACTGACATATCTGATGAAATATGAGTGCAAAGAAGGTTTTACTGAAGAATAGTTTGGAGAAGAAAGTTTTGCTAATGTCCGACAGTTGTGGGAGTGAATCAGAGAAGAAATAGAAGATAAATGAAGGCTACTGATTGGAGAATCATTTGGACAGAATCATAACGGTCAACCAATCAATTTGTTTTGATGCATAAAAATGAGTTTTAA